TTCACACCCGTCTGCAAATAAACCCACAGTTTTCTCCTTCTCCCCCTCTCTCATGTTGTGTTTTCATCCCCAGTGGGAGTCAGCTTCGAGTCTCACCTTATACAGGTAAGTATCCCCTCTTCTCACAGCACCCGAATGCACCCTGCCACCATACGCAGCCAGGTTCATTTAGTCGCGAATCCGAATGCAGCAGTATCATCAGCAGGGAAAAATTCCCCCACAGTGCTGGAGTACAGCCACGCCGTGCTCCACAGCCGATGGCAATCGTGGACAAACAAAAGTTCTCCTTCCACGCGRGGCTCAACTAAGCGGCCTCTCCMTTTCTCTCTCTCTGGTTATGCTYAGACCCATAGGCACTAAGAAAATATGCCTCGTTGTCATTCCTCCACTATCTCAGTCAGCAAACAAGGACACCGRCCAACAGGTAAGTCCCCGTTCCTTTGGCTTGCTCCCTGCTGCTTGCTTCCATGGGGTTCACCAAAGTGACTGAATCTGTCCGCAAAAAACAACTAGGTGCATTGACACTCTTCCCGGCGCCTGCCATACCTTCGCGCGGCACCTATCTCTGTTTAACCGCCTATCCTACTAACTTTGGTACTAAAACTAACATTACCAGTAGATTGGCCCTACCCAATCACCCCGATTTACTATCTTACCTCGCCCAATTCCATAAAGAATCGTGCATGGTGTCACATCTCCCTCCCGCCATGTCCATTCCTTCTCGACGTCCTGCKCAACAGTTTTCTCGACTAATTTTTTTTCTTCGCTAACATTCTAACCAAACCAATACTTTCATTGCATTCGCCTTGCCTTAAAACCTCAGAGCAGCGTCTAACTTAGTTCAATTCTATAGAGGAGGGAGTGAAGTATCATCGTTTCCCCCTTTTTTTTTTTTTATTATGATAGCCGAACTCCCGCCACCTTTCACACAATCTTTTCCTAACTATCCTTCTAATCTTACTAATCCTTGACTAAAACTAGCCTTGAAAATGAAATCGCCTGCCGTCAAAACCATTGTTCTGCCCTTCTCCCCGCCCGAATTTATTAGGAATCGGGCGAGCTATAGCTCCCTGACCGCGCCAAGCTTGCCGTCCGCCATGGCTGCCTTCACATGCCCGCACCTSGCACGCCCCTCCGTCCCGGTTCATTCAAACCGGCTTCCTTCTCTGTAGCTGCGCAGCGCGGCCCGCTGCCTCGTCGCCCGGTGCTGGRTCCGCCCTTCCTTCTTCTCATCACTACGTTCCGCCCTGCTTGTTTCCTCCGCCCTCCATACTTCCGATTGTACCCCGCCGCACCCCGCGTCCGGGTTCATTCCTATTTCTCCACTGCTCGACTCCGCTCTGCCGCTGCCTGTTGCTAGTCGCCTGCGCCAGCCGCTGCCCAGCGCCCGATCCCACAGCCTTCTCGTCTGCCTCTGTCCCTGTAGCTCCCGTAGCGCTGCCCGGTTTTCCTCGATCATTCCGACCGTCTGGAGGAAAGGTCTTCGGAGACTACCGCGATCTCCGACATCATCTGCTCCCACAGCGCCCGTCTCTCTCTTCTTCGAGAACACCTCGCTACGCAGCAGGATCCGGCGGTCGACGGGGCTACATGTACACGGCCCACTGCTTCTTGCATGCACCCGGTGCCCGCCCGTGTCCGGGTTCATCCGCCGCTGGGTGGCCTGCCTGTTCTGGTTGTCTMAGCGTCCGCCCGACGATCAGTCGGCCTGGGGAAGACTTCGGAGGGAACCAACTCCTAGACGGTCCGATTAGTCTTTTGCCCCTTTACCCAAGTCCGACGAACGATTTGCACGTCARTATCGCTGCGAGCCTCCACCTTAGCGCCAGTCCGCCCACTGCTCCACTACGTTTCGACCACCGCTTTTGCTTCGGGTCGCTCTCCACTGTTGCCCGGCCTGCCCGTACCCAGCACAGCCCGTGGTCCGACAGCTCCCGCCTCTCAAAAAAACTCTGGCTGTCGGCCGGCCCTCGTTCTATAGCCTTTGCCGATATCTACTCTGTATCGTTCTGATTCTAACAGATTCCCCGAAGGACTTAGCCGCGGTGGTACCCCAGCCTGCGGTTCTTTAAAGATGTGGACTGCCAGTCGCAGTACAGCACCCCGAACCAAAACGGGACCGCAAATACCAATAGAATTAAATAGGTAAATATATAAAAAAAACAAAGATAAAAATAAATTATCATAAAATAGAAATCCCTAAGCAGGGTGCRGGGACTACTAAGCCTCACCGGTCCCGTGGACCGGGCCTGCCGCCGCGCTTGTCAAGAAAGCCAAAGGGAGATAGCCCCGTCGGGCCCTCAACCCCTCGGTTCTCTCCATAGCGCTCCGCCGCTGCCGCGCCGACACTCACTGGCCTTGATCCCCAAACCTTCATAATAGTAATCCGATACCGTAACCTATAGGGCTAAGCCCAAGCCTGAGACCAAAACACGCCGAGTGCCATATAAGACGGTGCGGCGCGGCGCTTTGGGCCAATAAAACGGTTGCGCGGCTCTCAGTGTCCGCGCCGGTTCACTTATACCGTGCTATAATCGCCCTGCGCGCCATCCTACGACACCCCGCTTACCGCCCGAAGCCGCGCCGTTGTTGCCAACGCCGTTGTCGGGGCCGCTCTCCGCACGCGCGCTCGACTTGGTCAAAAGTACCAATCAACATTTCCATATCAATTACTCCTAATCTAATTGACAAAAAAAAAAAAAAAAAAATGGCCGGCGCTCACGCCGGCTCTTTAAATGCCAATAAAAATCACGTGCGCCTCAAGTATGCGCGCCCACACACTCTCTACTCTAGTCGACCATCCTATCAACGTAAAATACAGACGCGGCCACGCCTAGCGCAGTATACCCAAACTATAGATTAAACTATTTTCTGTCACTTGCAAAAACCAGGGCGGATACCCTTGTAAGGGAATTCGCACCGACAGCGCCGTATCTAGGCAGTCCGAGAATTTGATAAGCAATCCTCAAACTCGGTGCCGGTCTCTGCTCCTTCCTCGACCGTGCCTGGTGCGCCGCGAAATCACCCCGCACACCGTCATCAACTCGTCGCACTGTGCTCCACGGACGGTGAAGCAACTGCTGTGAGTCTAGACGAGGCAACGGCGACGACGACGTGTGGCCTCTCTCTCTCTCTCTGCCCGTGACAGTTGTCGGACTGCCGCGGATTGTAGTCGGTGGAAGAGGTGTAACTGGGGGGATGCGAGTCGTGCAAGCACCCGAAACCGCTGCTCTAACAGACTCTGAACGTTGCTGCTCGTGCTCCAAGCTCGCAGGAGAGTCGGAATACAAAGGGCTCAAAGGTGTGTACAGCGGGGGCGAGCGAACTCCGACACCGACAGATCTTGCAGGTCGTGTGATAATCGGATCCTCCACTGCCGCACGGTGCAACGCGTCAGGGTCAAGTAGGCCCGGTGTAATCTGCCCCTCCTCCATATCTACTCTCACTGGGTCAGGACGTTCATGTGCCGTACCGCCCTCCTCCTCCTCATCAACACCACCTCTACCCTCCGCAGGATGTGACGGATCCTTGTGCGCCACCGGTGAAGGATGACGCAACACCAACGCCCACGAGATACTGCCTCCGGCGTCGTCCACATGTGCATCGCCCTGTACAGGTCCACATGTGTCACCCCCAATCGGCCCGTGTGACGATCGACCTGGACCGGTACCGTGCGCAGGTGCAAGACGGTCGGGATCACCCGCCTCATCATTGCCCTCCGCATCGGGTCAGCTGCCTCCATCCAACTCGCCGGAGTTGCCATCCATAGGAACTGCCTCCTGAGTGGTTGGATTATCTAGCTGTAACGTGCCCGCCACACACAGTCCAAGTATGACGTCGGACACGGTCGGATCGCCATACTCAGATGCACCTAACTCTCCTCCCATCGCAGAGCCGGTGTCCACCTCTCCCTGGGGCGACGTCTCGGGCACTGGGGTATCGGGTGTCGCTGCGTCAACTGGAAATGCGTGCGGGACTGTGGGAACGCTATGCTCTACCCCACCCACATCAGGGACTGCAGTACCCATCTCCAAGTCCCTAACACGTTGCTGCTCCGCCATGTACTCATCTCTACCCGCCCACTCTCTCTGCAACCGCTCCAGCCGCTGCTCCTCCTCTCGATCCATCCGGGCATGAAGCTCCTCCATGGACTCTACTTCACCACCCGGCACAGGATGATACTCGGCCTCATCCCCCACTCTCTCTTGCCCGTCTGTCCGCCCTCGAACACCGCTGCCCGCAAATCCTGGTCCAAGGCCCTGAAAGTCACTCGTGCGCAGCTCCCTCTGCTGCCTGTTGCCTCGAGGTGTTGAGGTGGGTGTATGCTGGCTCGTCAAATGCTCCTCATCTCTGATGTCGTCTTCGTGGTCCGACGCCTCGCGTCCACCACCTGAAGTCGATACCGCCAGCGTCTGCTGCAGCCTCGCCGATCTCTTGAGACCCTCGGCGGCAGGCTCGGGCCGCGCGGCTCCCTGCTGCGCCAACCGTGCTCTGCGAAGCAGTAACGGCTCGTCGTCGTCGTCCACGCTGTCCAGCCCAGTCACCTCCCTCTCTCGACACCCGGCACGGGGTGCACCACTAGACCCGCCTAAAACATCTCCACTAGCGCCACGTCTGGCAACTTCGCTCGTGCTGCCTGAAGCGTCTCGCTGTCCACACTCCAACCCTATATCGGTGGAGGGGATGGGATCATCGTTTCTCTCTCGAATGAATGTGCAGCGTAGCTGGAATCCATCGGCTCCTCCTCCGTATGTGTAGTAGAGTCTCTCCGCACTCTTATCTACACCAGGTGGCAAATCCTCTCCGCCCTCCGTGTCCGTCTGGTCCTCCGACGCCTGCACCGGCTCTGCTGGCGGTGGAGGCACATAGTCGTAAGGATGGAGTATCTCAGCTGTGGCACCGAAAACCTCGACAACTCTTGCTGGGCGACGGGCACCTTGCTGCTGGAAGCGACGAACCTGTGCACCGATCTCTTGTGTCGACACTGCTGCTTGAGGTCTAGCTCCCCACTCCTCTGGCACAGGCTCCTCCTCCTCATCCTCGTCTGCGACCACCGGGTGTGTGCACTCCTCTGGTCGCGCCTCAGCCAGGGTCGCCATGTGACCCCACGGAAGAACGTACCCCCCACTCCGCTCGCTGCATCAAAGTAGTTTGAGATTTGTAGCAATCTCAACTAACAGGGCGACCTTCCTGAACTCGAGCTAATCGAGCTTGGCCGTGTGGATGCGCTCATGCTCTGCCCAAGTCCTCTCAACAGTAGAGGTGGACGTCCACATGTGCATCACACGGCCAGTGATCTCCTGCAAGTCCGGGAAGCATGCGCCGTGCTCCACCCACCAAGATGCGCACCTGCTCGTCTCCTCATCCCCGATACAGGCCTCCGCCTCGGTGTCCCTCGTCACCCCGTCCGTCGTGTGCGCGATCCTGGCATGGAAGGACCGCATCTCCTCCCGCACCTGCAAGTATGCATCCCCCGCCGGATCACCGCCTGTCTGTGCCAACAAAACCGAGTCGCACTTGGTAACCACCTCGAGGTTCGCAGTTGTCCTGTGGACGGACTCGTAGTAATGGAGAGAGCGTCTGCGGGGGTTGAGCAGGTGCGCCGCAGCGTGCGCAGGCTCAAGCATATGCATGGTGCGGATCTGCACCGCCTCCACTCACAGCCCCTGCATGTCATCAGGGACGTCAGCAACAGCCACCTGCTGTACCAACTTCTGCGACCATGAGTAAATCGTGGACATGCCGCCCCTGTCCAATCTCCTCAATAGCTGGTGGACAGGGGTCATGACAGCGATTGCGTGCTGAATGTTGAGCCAGAATTCGGCGTAGCGGATGACTGGTCGAACCCACAGAGCCTGTCTACGCTTCGACGACTCCCATGGGATCTTGTCCCACTCATCGTCATGAAGCATGCTCTCCAAGGCATTACGCCTGGCGAGCAAATACACAAACATAAAAAAAACAAACGAGAATCGCGTCTCCACCGGGTGCACAAGTGTGCGGCGACGGCTCTTCACCCTAAAAAGGTGATAAGCCGCACCGTGCGACTTAATGAATCGCACCAACGCCTGAGCCCTGAAAATGGTGTCCGTAACCCAAGGAACCCGTGTCCCGATGTCAGACAACATCAATTTGGCGATGTAGGTGGCACACGGGAGCCAAGTGATATGACGAATCTCCGGATCAGAGTCCTTTGCAAGGAGCTTTGCGGCCGACGTGTAGTTCGACGCAGAGTCCATACAAATGGCCAACACGTCCTTCGGAGGGAAAGACCGAAAAATGGCCTTCCACCTCCTCAGGACGATCTGTGCCATCTCGGGCACTGAACCGTCTCGCTGGACGGTGGCGTACAAGAGGGCACCGCGCTTGGCGGCTGCGAGGAAGTTGACTTCAGGCCTAGCGTCTCGCGACTGCCTACCGTCTGACAAAATGGTCGCCCCTACCGACTCGAACGAACTACGGACCTCCCTCAACATCGCGGCAACCTTCCCTCACTGCTCAGCAATACCAGCGCCCCCAATGTCATGGAAGGACGGATAGACTGGCCAGACTCCGCGAGGCATGGCGGCTAACTGCTTCTTGTGCCGAAGTCACGACTGCCTCCTGAATGCAACAAACGGAATACCGACATCGTAGGCCCACTGCAAAAAGGTGTCCCTGAATCTGGCCTGCCCATCTGGATCGTACACCTCGTCCAGTCGTGACTGTCGCTGTCTCTTGTGCGCCCACGGCTTGCCCTCAACTCCACTCTCCACCGGCCTCTTTCCTCCGTAGTCATGACCACATCCTCTCCCGGCAAATCGAGTGTGGGGCCTGCCCCTCCACCCTCCTCAATGCCCCCGGCCTCTGCTCGCTTGGCCTCCTTGGCAAGGAACTCCACCTCCTCCACAGCATCACACTCCTGTGGTCGTGACTGTGTCCTACCCGTCCTGCCCCTGCCACTGCCTCGACGGACGTCCGCGGCTTGTCTATCCACGATATCGTGCTCCCTCATGTACGCCATGATACTCGTACTCTGTGTGGTTTCAAATGTCCACAAACACGTCCATCGTTGCTGCCGCACACCTCTTCAGCTGCGTGAAGTGGCGCTGCGCCTTGAACAAATTACCCTGCCATACATGCTTGCAATAATTGCTGCGGAGCTTGTAGTTCCCGTGCCTCTTCTCCCACGTCGCCATCCTCTGACCGTGCATCACATGACGCCACACTCTTGACTTGTTGTGCGGTTCATCCATCTGCACGTCGGTCGTGATAACGAAATTGCCGCCCCGATAACCACCCGCACAACCTGTCATTTTAGATGACAACGGGCTAAACACCTGGAATATGAATTCTCAAACCCCCCCCTCCTCCACTTCCGCAGCAGGCCCTAGGCGTTCCTCTGCGTGGGCCACGGCCAAGGACGCGTCCGCGTGGACGTCGTCAACTCTGCGCGACCTTGTTTGTGTCCGCGCACTGATCCACATGGCCTTGTTTGTGGCCGCGGCCGCGGCGGCCGATGCTGGGTGGTGTGTGCGGCCGTCTTCGCCCGCGCGCCACCGGCTGTTGTCAAGACCTGAAAAATAAAAATAAAAAAAATCAATCAATCGATCAACCAATTAATCAATCTAATCAATCCATCTAATCAATCAATCTCATCAATCAATCAATCAATCAATCAATCATTCAATCAATCAATCAATCAATCAATTAATCAATCAATCAATTCAACAAATCAAGATCCTACGATCTTGAACCAATCAAGATCCGATTGGTTGGATTGATTGATTTGACACACCCACACACAGACGTGCACACACACAGACACACAGACACACACACACTCTCTCTCTCTCTCTCTCTCTCTCTCTCTCTCTCTCTCTCTCTCTCTCTCTCTCTCTCTCTCTCTCCGCTTTCTCTCTCTCTCTCCGCTTTCTCTTTCTCTTTCTCCTCTTTCTTTCTCTCTCTCTCCTCTCTCTCCCTCTTTGCGCTTTCTCTCTCTCTCTCTCTCCTCTCTCTCTCTCCGCTTTCTATCTCTCTCTCTCCGCTTTCTATCTCTCTCTCTCTCTCCTCTCTCTCCCTCTCTTCGCTTTCTCTGTCTCTCTCTCTCTCCTCTTTCTCTATCTCTCTCTCCT